GAACTCCCCCAAGAAGTAAGGACCACCCAAACCTCACTACCTTCTGCCCCAAGTGTAAGGTGCATTTCCTTTACCTTGCCTTCTTGAACACAAATACAGAGCAACATGTAAATTTAAAAAAACACCTAAAGCCCTACCAAAAGAAGACACTCCACTGCACACTCTTCCCCCTGGGCAGTGGATGAGAGAAAAAATAAAACATGACAGATGTGTAGTCAACTTGTTTAATGCACTGGAAGGCACTCAGACACTATGGTGATAAGCGTGGTATAAGAGCCATATAGAATAAGGGCTTGTCTACATGCAGGGTGAAATCCTGGCCCCATTGAAGTCCATGGGAATTTTGTCATTGACTTCAAAATAGCCAGGATTTTACCCACAAACTTTGTCGGTTCATTACTGACATAAGCTAACTTAATATAAGCCATTTCTTAACCATTTTACAGAATGTCCACTCAGGGGTTTGCAACAATTTAACTAAACTGGTGCAAGTTTGTGAGACAAGCCCTAACTAAACCTCACATCACCGCTGTGAGGCAGGCAAGGACCATCCTGTCTATTTTCCAGATCAACTCAGAGGATCCAACTGTCTATTTTCCAACTCAACTCAGCTGAGAATAACACTTAATACCCTTATATTTGGAGAGGAGAAAAGTTTAATTGTGGGGTGTCATCACTTGAGTGGTTTGCTGTAACTGTATGCTGAACTGAAGGAGCTACTCCTCCGTTGCACTCCCAAGTCTAGAAGTAGCTAGGAGTCAGTTTGGCCACTGGCATAAACTAGAGCAGCCTCAAGGCTTCTCTAACCTATGCTGATTACAATGGGTTTTAGGATTGCCAGAGCAAATCCCATTCCAGCCACATAACTTCCCACTCTACCACACAGCCCTGGAGCACCCCTACACTATGGTGTCAGGAAAAGGTGGCATTGAGCCAGCTATGTTGCCTTTGCCCTACCCAAGGATCCCTTATGCAGCTGATGCAAAAGGCACAGTTCAGGTTTGGGCATTTGTATTATGTTTACATTATATAGGGAACTACTTACTATGAGCTCTTCTGAAATGCCGGCAAAGCCCCAAAGTGGCTGAATTAGCCTGGTTCTCCTTTCACACCAATCTTGCACAACTGTAATTCCATTGGCTTTAATGGGGTTACTTCTGAATCATGCCTTTGAGAGACCAGAGTCAGACCCATAATATGCAGAGGTGAAGCATGGACTCCTGTATATTTGATTTGGCTTTCATACCAGTGTAAACCAGGAACAGCTCCACTGAAGGCCAACTGGTGTGAGAGGAGAGAGAGAGAATTTGATGCTCAGTGTGTTAGCTTCATTGGGATGCTCTAGCAACTTCCTTCTGGCTGCATGCCACATCTTGAGATATTCGGTGACTCTGAACTTGTTATCAATATCCTTGTTCCTCTCTCACCATTATATATTCCTCCCCCCTGCGGTAATGTGTCCTCCTGATCCATGAGTTAGAGATGATTAGGCACTTGTGCATCATGCCAATGCAGTACAAAGTTAGATTCACTGCCAGTACCTTAATTATATTGCACCACTGATCATCTTAAAATGTTGTTTGATATTTTAAACTTTAGATTTTTCAGGCTTCTTGACAGTGGGCCATGTAGGTTGTCAGTAGAGTCTGTGGGGGTTACTACAACTAAATTCATTAGTTTGGGCTTTTGGAATCTTTTAGTGTATGAATATAGGCAGACATAGTCCATGATCTAAGTATAACATCTCTTAAGGGGCACTGGCACATCTCTTTGTTCCTGGCCTTTTATTAACACCCTGTTAGAGTTGTATGTCTACTTGCCTCTGCCGTGTTAATTTTGTGTACAATGACATGTCTACCTTGGGAAAATATGTGATGTGTGAGCAAGGCCTGGGGGCTATGTACATTTCAAATGTTTAGCTCTGGCCTTAGTGATGTAGCCATTTGCTTTTGGCGTAGGTGTGAAATTATAGCAGATGTCAGGGATCCAAAAGGGTATTTGTGCATTGCACCCGGAGGGTTGTGTGTGTCTTGCGCTTTGAGGAAAATAGTAGAAGTTGTTTGTCTCTGGTGTCCTACAAATACAGGTATGTGAAACTGAAAGGAAATGGATTTTCACATGACCAGAGCAAACACTGTTCTAAGGCATGCCAAGAGATTTATACCCAGATCACATTTCCCCCTCAGACTTGAGGTTCTATTGCTGATTTTTATTTCATTTCATGGCAGGCAGACTGGAAATATTTCTCTTTCCCTTCACATAAATAGATGAAAATAGATGGAGGTTTTTCCACTGAGTTCAAGGGCATTTACAATTCATTGACAAACAGCTTCCACCTGTGAAAAGGGGACCTCAAAACCAGGACTGGATTATCATCCTCGCCAGCCTTCTCTTCCTCCCATATGGGCAGCATATAGGGAGAATTCATACTTTTTTTCCTCTGGGGTGGCAAAAAGAAGAGAATAAAGACTAACACTCCCGTGTTTTTAATTGTCTTACCCCCCCCCCATGCCATCACTTCAACTTTACTCCCTGATGGAGACCTCACACTTTTTAGTGACTTTATTCCATGATTTAGGCCCATGTCTTAGGGCTTGTCTACACTTGCATAGGTACAGAAATAGGTAAGACAATCCCTTAGTCTTCAAAGTTTTGTTCAGGCAAGGACAAGATTCATCCATCCATCTCTGGTAAGTGTTTCTAGAGGGCCTATTTGCATGTCTGTTTATTGATCTGAATTAACCATAAAGATAGGATTAACCCTATTGTACAGTAAAATTAAGCAATAAGATTCCCAAGTCTCTCCCACAGGGGGCAGGGTTGTGGCTGAGCCCAAATAATCAACCATATCTGAAGCTCCCCGGCTGTCATTCGCTTCTGATCCATTAGCTAGTTATTAAACCTCTTTATCTCTTATTGCTGATCGAAGATCCACTGCCAAACAAGCTTAATTCAGTTAGCTTAAAAGGGAGCATAGTTCGGCCCTGATGGCTTGGAGTTAATGGCTTTTAATAAAACAGCATGAGAAGGTGCTTCAAGTGGGGGGCTGTTTTCCCCCCCTGTAAATGTAGAGCAAGTAAGGAATTTCCTCTTGGCGCGGGGTGGGGTGAGGAATTTAACCCCAACTGAGCACAGTCTCAATCAACCATTGAAGAGTGGGACTGGAGCAAAAGTAGCCGGTGTCCTGCTTTGGACGCTGATTGGAGACATTTGTCAGCTCTTTCAAGCCACTGAATTGTTTCCAGCGGCGAATCGATCCCTTTCCTTCCCTGCTCTGGCTCTGGCTAAGCGAAGCACCGTTTCCAGCCCTAAACAATCTTCTCTCGCAGCGTCTCTCCCGGCTCCCAGGTGCGCGCTGGCTGTAGGAGTAGGGGGCATGAGGCAGCGTTGGCTGGGGCAGAGGTTGCGGCTCCTGGGCAGAGCCCCGTGAAGTAACACCGAGGGGGACAAAAGACAGAGGCTTGCAGCAAGCGGGCAAGCCCTGGCTCCAGGGCCGGCGGGCCGGAGTTCCAGGGACTCAGCTCCCGAAGCAGACCCGGCGCTGGAGCAAGGGGACAACAGTGCCCAGCCGCCCGCGGAGCAGGAGGGGAGAGCTCGGGGCTCCGGGGCTGGCGAAGGGGCAGCCGGGCTGAGACAATCAGCAAACCCACTCCCGCCAGGCGGGGCGAGCCGCAGGAGCGGATTGGCTGGAGCGAGGGGCTCGGCGAGGAACATGCCCGAGCTACTGCCAGCCTGAGCCACGCCAGGCAGAGCGGCGCCCAGGTTACAGGCTGCCCCGCCGGGTTCGGGGCTCACTCGGCCACCGCAGCCGGGCACGGAGCCCGGGCAGACGGGGCGCAGAGCGAGTCCTGGGCCGCTCCGCCCTCGGAGCTGTCCGTTCAGCACCCCGGGGATGCGCCTGCCCCTCCGCCAGCAGCCGGTCACTCCAGCCACCAGCCGGGGCAAAGCCCGGGGGCAGCCGGCCGGCTGAGCCGGGGGCCGGGCCGCTGCAGCCGGCTGGGGCGTTTCATGGACAGCCCCAAACTTTCCTGCTCGGCGCCTGAGACGCCCCAGGGGTGGAGGAAGCAGCAGCTCCCAGCCGGGCAGCCAGCGCAGGGACTGGGGCAATAGGGAGCCAGGCACAGAGCCAGGGGTGTGTGTGTGTGT